AGACAACACCTCGGGGCTGTTGTTTAAAATTTGCCAGTCGTAGATGTCAGAGAAATATATTTTTCCCCAGTAACCCGACCCGACAGTACCTTCTTTGCTGCAGACGTGTGTTATTAAATGGCTAGAGACCATTGCTTTATGTAATATCACATGCTAATGCACAGCATGACTACCGTATTTATTTGTTTAATTGTATCACTTATCACGTGTATTACCTGTGTTATGTTTTAAAGGCTGTTAACAAGAAGCATATCTGGAATACTGCTATCTGTCTCGGCGAATACTGCTTCAGTGAATGAATTCGTCTAATCATAATCGCATTATAGCATAGTCATTCCAGGGTCATATGACTTGGACCGCAATGTTTTATTGGATGGATAGTCAGGAGGACTGTACTGATAGTGTATTTTGTTTAGTGATCACATTTCTGCGCGAGTGGGCGATGTTAACTATGAACTAAAGTTGCGTGTTTCAGACTTCCGTGCACCATCATGTCCAAGCGCCTTGATTATATCAGTTGGGAAGACTATTTCATGGGCATTGCCATGGCTTCTGCTCAAAGAAGCAAGGATCCATGCACACAAGTAAATACATCTACAGTTAAAGTCTGAGAGTAAGGTAAAGATTTTATTACTGGAGTGCAAGATTAGTGCAGCCAATGCATGCTTGAGTTATGTTATCATTTGTAAAGCGGTATTTTAATAGCTATTTAGAGCATAATCAAATTTTTTACCCCATTTATTTGAGTTTATTCAGTTTTATTAATTTCTTTACTTATGTCAGAAAACAAGCCAAACGATTACTGAAATGTCAGACTAAGGACATCAGAAGATACCAGCGTATAAAGAGTATGAACAATGACTCCACCAGGATTATTGAAGTTCAGAGAAAGTGCACTGACAATAAATGGTGTCCTTACTGTTTCGAGGGTGTGGTACTACCGGTGTTTAATGAATTGGATTTAATGCCAGTTGTAAGGTTGAATTCTACAAACTTGAGCAGCGGGTATAATTTAAGCTGAATGAAATATGTTGTTTCATTTTGATGCTGAGTAACTGAAGAAAATGCTTCTGAATAGGTCGGAGCTTGCATCGTGAACAGTGATCGGAAAATTGTAGCAACTGGATACAATGGCATGCCATGCGGCTGCAACGATGACTTGATGCCTTGGGGCAAAGTGGGGACTAGCATTTTGGACACAAAATATCCATACGGTAAGAAGCATTCACGTTATTGGTTCTTCGCATATTTATACGTCACCCATGGTTCAGTATGTCATGCGGAGATGAATGCAATCATGAACAAGCATGCAGCAAGTGTTGTCGGTGCAACGATGTTCGTTACACTATTTCCGTGTAATCAATGTGCCCAGTTGATCATTCAGTCTCGCATAGCCGCTATCGTTTACCTAGAAGATAGAGACAAGCCGGACTACGATGCTGCACGTCGCTTATTTGATATGAGTGGCGTCACATATAGGTATGACTGATGCTTTGTTTTCTTTTATTTTTATCTTCTTTAACCGTAATCACTCAATTTTCATCGTCCATTTCTTAGTTTCTTAAATCAGGTTAATATTCTGTTTAGTTATGTAATCTCAACTCCATTTCAGAGAGTAGACTTTGTCCGTTGTGTCACTGGCAGTAACTATGACGTTTCTAGCCACTCTGTGATACCGTAACTTCCATTATCACCGGTGTTCTTCCATGCCATCAAATATTGATCATCGTCGATGACATGAACACGCAGGTCGGCGCTGACAATTTTAACTGATTTCATTTGTTGGGCCAACGCGACTGCGAACGGCAGTGGAGGCGGCTCTTAAACTTTTGTTATACGCTCGATTTCATCATCAGCATAACCCTGAATCCTAACTGTGAGATCCATTAAATGAGGCGGTAAGATCCAGGTCATCATTTTAAAAGCTAGCTGGGCCACCTATTGGTCAACAGAGAGTGGAGAAGCTCCTCACGACTCCCGGAACTGACATTCGCTCAGACCACATCATGGTGGTTGCAGATCCGCCCCAACTATCAACGTTCCGGAGAACTGCGCGGGAAAGAACTAACACCGTATTAAATTCAGAGTTCCAAGACGAGATCAACATCATATTCGTTATTGTTAAGGATTTGACCTGCTTAGAACTTCAGCTGCTGTGCAAACAGCTCAAATAGGGTATCGCCTGCCGCAGCTGATACACTTGTCCTCAGCAAAGAGACGAAGCACCGGTGGGTCTCGGCAGAAGCCCTCAATCTATACCGAACGAGAAAGGCGGAAGCAGGGGTTCTTACAGAACCATGAAGAGACGAAGAATCTGGCGTATCAGCATTTAGTTAAAGCAATCAATAAGAGCTACAGAACAGCGCAAAATTTGGAACAGACGGTTCTGAAGGACTGGAAGGCGCTGTACTGACAAGTTGACAACATTATCTTCATCATCACCCTCTATAACCGCTTCTCCGTTCGGGTCGCGGAGACAGACACGTCATAGAGTGCGTCAACGTTCCTGATCCTGTGCCAGAGTCTGAGCTTTTGCACAATACAATTTGAGCCAGAAGCAGCCTTCTATACATTTCCATAAGGTTAATCTTGACTGTCCCCTGGGCCTTCCGCCGGTCGGTTCGGCAAGGAACGATTGCTTTTCCTTCCTTTCTGGAGGCATTCGCAACTCATGCCCAAACCATTGCAGCTGTGACTTCTCAATCCGGAGAAGCAAAGGCTTTAATCCAAGGCTCTTCCGGATGTCACTGTTCCGGACCATGTCGAGACGCGTAAGGCCAGCGACTTGTCTAAGAAAGTCCATTTCAGCAGCTCGTACCCGGATTCGAAGTTTTTCAGTGATGGTCCACGATTCAT